AAGTGGCATCATCTTCACCAGCCATTCTTTGGATAATTACCTGAAGTGTTTGTAGAACTTTCAAGAAGTTTCAGTGAGTTAAAGAATGTTTGCCTTGATTCATCATTGTGTACAACAGATGGCATTCTGGCCATTTAGGTCATGAAAAAAGCCAGCCACTGCAGCTGAGTCAATAAACTATGGTTAAAAGCAAGCCCAGCTTAAGCCAGAGGTCTCCAAATGTGCAAACACTAAGAATTGTGAACTTCAACTCCCAGAATTGAAGTCCTCAAGTACAAATTCTGGGAATTGAAGTCCACCAGCCTTAAAGTTGCCAAGTTCGGAGACCCCTGGCTTAAGGCAATGTGTGAACCTAGGGTTGTTTGTGTTTTTAGTCCAATAAGAGTCAACAGGACCAAGGGCTCCAATCAGTTCTGCCCCACTATCACCACTTCAGAACAAGCTCATTTTCTTTCTTCTCCATCAATAAGACTAATAATTGAATTTTTTTTTCAGGAGCAAAAATATCTGGGGCAGTCCAGTTGCTTGCATGCAGTTGTTTCAGAGGAAGCTTAAGGAACTGAAATGATTGCATGAAGAGTTGGAAGCACTTTTTAAAAATGTTTAAGTGCCATTTAAAAAAAAAAAAGTGGGTGGTGGTGTTGTTTTTTTTTACTGGTCCCATTTTTTTAATCCTAGAACTCAAAAACTTATTTTTTTTTCCTCTCCACCTGAAATACTATAGAGTAGCAGCATTTTTTTCCCCCTTTCTTTCTTTCTGTTGAAACTTGCTTGCTCCTGTACTGGAGAGTTGTATGAAATAAATGGAAATGATGAATGATGAACGGCAACATTAATGAATTGCCATCTAGCTAATAGTTGTCACATTTGTCCGGGAACATATATATATAACTTGCAGCTGCTGTGACAGTTTGTCCTGTATGAATTGTGCACAGTATAGGTTTGGTTTTCATTTTGTGCTAAGTCATTTGATTTTGTTTTCTTTAATAAGATACAATCAGCTTGTGATGACCAGACATTCAGTCATAAACTCTGATTTACAAACCACCAAGAAAGGGTTTCTATGCATATAAGCTAAGCCCAAACCAGTGATGGGATTCAGCCAATTTGCACCAGTTTGGCAGAACCAGAAGCTAATTTTTTGTTGCCCAGGTCCAGAATGGACTTCCGGAAGCGGCATCCACACAGAGAACCAGTTGTTCACCTATTTGAATCCCACCACTGACCCAAATCCATTGCAGAGCAAGTGAAATCCAAACCTAGTGCCTATTTTAGGTTGTTATTCTTATTTCTGCTGTTGTGAATAACTTAGTTTTTCCACTGTTCTTTCTCGTGAAAGAAATCAGAGCAGTGGATCAGAAAAAAAAAAATAGATGCAACATCTGGCAATACAGCAAGGCAATCATTTGAACCCGATAAGAATATTTTTAATTGCTTAAACCAATTTTTATGCCTTTAGGGCATTGTATGATGAATGCTATCACTGGCAAAGGTGAGGTGGGTTTATTACATCTTTTTTTTTTTAAGAACGAGGATTGCTTATTAGAGTCTAAATGCACGTTTGACTGAGGAACGGCAGAAAACTGTATGCCTGCTGTAATATCATCCCGTCTTACAGTTCGGAGTTTCAGTTCTTTATGGAAACTGTCAGCAGATTTTTTTAAATGTTGACAGCTTCTTCTTTCATATGGAAATAGAAGACTGATTGAGCATCCAATCTGCCAATGTCTATTTCACACTTGGGACTTACCTGAATCTCACTTTCAACCAATTCTACAAATGATTGTCTTATCATCAGACCAGGTACTTTCGGGGTGTCCAAATTGGACTTAGTGATAAGCAGAATCTGGAAGTTATCTGGAATCCAGATGGTGGAAGGTTGTCCAGCTTTTACTCAAGACCGGTCAACAATAGTGCGATGTGGACCAACATTTTTTCAAATCCACGTTGTGCAAAGCTCTCCCCTCCTTCAAGTCTGTTTTACATCTTTCCCATCCACCCAGCACATGCCACCTTCCATAGACGTCAAGATAGCTGGTCCAATTTGTTCTGAGTGCCCAAGCCCAGAGAGAAGGCCCTCCCTTCTCCTTGCTGCCTACTTGCCTTGTTAGCAATTCCAATTAATGGACAAATCCAGCAGATATTCTTCCTGGTCAGCCAGCCTAGTGAGGGAATGAACGGGTCAGCCAGGCACAAATCAAAAACATTTGCTGGTGAACACTTTTTGCTCAGGGTGCAGCCCTATTAGAGGCCATCACTTGTCAGATTGCTAGAAAACTCTCTCTCTCACTCTCACTCTCTCTCTCTCTCTCTCTCCATCACTCTCTCTCTCTCTCCATCTCTCCATCTCTCTCTCTCTCTTTTTTTTTTAATCAAGCAGATGTCACGAAAAGATGGGCAAGAAAAGATTCTCTGTTCAGAAGAGACCATATGCCTGAAACTATTGTTAGGGGATAGTTAAAAAATACACTTCCCTGTAGGAGAAGAGTTGTTATTATTTTTTTTTTTTTGTAAGTTGAGATGGAAAAGAAAGAGACCTCCTTGGGAACAGGTGGATGAGGTGAGCTCCAACAGTTTCTTCGTGGTAGAGAGAATGCATCCCGGCCAAGACATGTTTCTCTCTTCAAAAAAAAAAAAAAAAAAAAAAGCTCTTGGTTTTTGAGAGGTTCCTAACTGAATCCATGTTGTAGACCAGGGGTCTTCAAACTTGGCCCTTTTATGATTTCTTTGAAGACCCCTGTTGTAGGCAGAAAGACCCAGTTCAAGAGCTGGGTTTTTTATATATAGAGATTCTTGGTGTCCTCTGAGCTTGGCCATTTTCCTGCTTATATTTCACTAATAGTTTACATGCTGTTGCCTAGTAAAGGACTGAGCTTGGTTGTTTTCTTGCAAATGTTTCATTGTCAAATTAGGTAACATCACCAAGGGTAGAAGGCAGTGGGGTTTGTGTAGAGGAGGAGGAGGAGGAGGAGGAGGAGGAGGAGGAGGAGGAGGAGGAGGAAGAAGAAGAAGAAGAAGAAGAAGAAGACGAAGAAGAAGAAGAAGAAGAAGAAGAAGAAGAAGAAGAAGAAGAAGAAGAAGAAGAAGAAGAAGAAGAAGAAGAAGAAGAAGAAGAAGAAGAAGAAGAAGAAGAAGAAGAAGAAGAAGAAGAAGAAGAAGAAGAAGAAGAAGGAAGAACGAAGAGAAGGAGAAGGAGAGGGAAAGGGAGAGGAAGAGGAAGAGGAAGAAGAAGAGAAGAAGAAGAAGAAGAAGAAGAAGAAGAAGAAGAAGAAGAAGAAGAAGAAGAAGAAGAAGAAGAAGAAGAAGAAGAAGAAGAAGAAGAAGAAGAAGAAGAAGAAGAAGAAGAAGAATCTGGATCCTTAGTCAATCAATCAATCTTTATTATGGTCCCAGACCAGCATTAGAGGTCCTTGGTGCTCTCTGAGCGTGGTGGTTTTCTTGCAGACATTTCATGACCCAAACTAGGTAACATGATCGGTGCTAGAAGGGAGGGGGGGTTGTGGAGAGGATCCTTGGTTCTCTCTGAACTTGGTTATTTTCTTGCTGTTTGGGCAGCTCCGTTTAATTTGACATCTTCGCCATCTTTGCCTCATATGATCTTAGAAAGCTATATATATTGACTTTCATCTAAGCTGCTGATTAGCTGCTTTTGTGTTCAGCAAGGGGCCATGCAAATAAATAGAGTAAGACTGGAATGTATCATCCAGAACAAAAGATAATTGATGGAAACGAATCAAGGAGAAGTCCAACCTAGAATTAAGGAGAAACTTTCTAACAGTGAGAACAATTAAGCAGTGGAACAACCTGCCTCCAGAAGTTGTGGGTGCTCCATCATTGGAGGCTTTTAAGAAGAGATTGGACAGTCATTTGTCTGAAATGGGATAGGGTCTCTTACTTAAGGAGGGGCTGGACTTAGAAGTCCTTCAAGGTCCCTTCCAATTGTATTATTCTGTATTCTACCTTTCTGCCTCTCTACAGTCTGATTTAATCATGGTAGCTTTTACCAATAGAAAACTTTCTTTTAATTTAATCCTCTACTGTGTAGCAACCTGTTAATATTTCCCTAAAGCAAATTATTCCTCTAACTTTGTGCATTTCTTTTAAATGTGAAAATTAATAACCTCAGTCAAACATTCTGTTGGCCCAGATTTTTTGTCGTTAGCTATACTGTACCTGCTAATTAGCTCACAAGGTTTTTGCATTGACATCCCACTGTTATTTTCCAAGGTTTGTTCTAATTATTATTTATTACAATTATTGATACCCACCATGCAGCATACAAAACTGACCTCAGAAGCTTAGAAGTGACCTCAAAAATAATAAAAACATGATATGCATTATTATTCAAATGAAAAATAACAAATCCTTGAATTTTTTTCCCGTGTGGTGGTTGACAAAACCTGGCTGAGATGCAGTGAAGGAGGAACATTTCTCTCCTACCCAAAATGCTGGAGCCCAGAGTCCTCCGTTTTTATTTTTATTTGTTTCTTTATTAAAATGTTAAGCCACCCATCTTTCTTATATAAGGCAACTCTGGGAGGCTTACAGAAATAGAAAAATAATTAAAATATTAAAGTTATGCAAATTAAAAATGTAAAACTAGAGGTAGTCCTATCCCATTTCAGACAAATGGCTGTCCAGTCTCTTCTTAAAAACTTCCAGTGTTGGAGCATTCACCGCTTCTGGAGGCAGGTTGTTCCACTGGTTAATTGTTCTAACTGTCAGGAAGTTTCTCCTTAGTTCTAGGTTGCTTCTCTCCTTGATGAGTTTCCATCTGTTGCTTCTTGTCCTGCCTTTGGGGGCTTTGGTGAATAGCTTGACTCCCTCTTCTCTGAGATATTGGAAGACTACTATCATGTCCCCCCTCGTACTTCTCTTCATTAAACTAGACATACCCAATTCCATCAACTGTTCCTTATATGTTTTAGCCTCCAGTCCTCTCTCTAAGCCAGTCTGATATTTTCATTTTTCTGTCTCTTCCTCCCACCCTCTCTCCATAGGTAAAGGCGATGTGAAGCAGATTCCGTGTCCCAAGACACCGAAGAATGCTTGGCAAGCACCATCTTTTCCAGCCATCTGTTGAAGATGTTCAATGTGGCTGTCCATCCATTTCATGTTGGGCAGATGGCTTTGTTGCCTTCTAGGGAATGAAAACCAGCCGGAGCAGATCTGCGGAGATGGCTGCGTGATCTACCAATTCATCTTTAATCAAGAGGTGAAGCTCCTCAAAGGAGACCGTATTTTCCCAGCTTGCAAACAGATATAAAGCCTTCTGCTCTGCCTCTTTTGCTCATTAGAGGTTGGTAGCTCAGCCCTGGACTAGCTGAGAATCCTCCATCTCTATACTGTGAGATCCTGTTCTGGAGGGCTGGACGATTTCAGGACTACAATGGAAGAGAATGTATTCAGCGTCCAACAGATTCAGCCCAACGTGATCTCGGTGAAGCTCTTCAAACGCAAGATTGGTGGCCTCGGATTCCTGGTGAAGGAACGAGTCAACAAGCCGCCTGTGATCATCTCTGACTTGATTCGAGGAGGGGCAGCAGAACAAAGTGGCCTTATTCAGACGGGAGATATTATCCTAGCAGTTAATGGGAAGCCCCTGGTTGATATGAACTATGACGCAGCCTTAGGAGTCCTTAGAAGCATCGCTTCGGAAACTTACGTTGTTCTCATCTTAAGAGGCCCCGAGGGCTTCACCACTCACCTAGAGACAACTTTTACTGGAGACGGGACCCCAAAAACCATCCGAGTCACCAGACCTCTGTGTGGGACGCCAACCGTAGGTGATCAGGCATCTGCTCCGAGCATCCACACCAAAGACAAGCAACAGGGGCAAGAACACAGCATGGGGGGCTCCGTCAGCTCCCGATGTACCCGGGAGAATGGGCAAGAGGAAGAAGACCTGGTGCACATCAACGGCATGGTAGCCAGCAACGTGGCCAAGGACACTCTGAAAGCAAACCAGGATATCCCCGACCATTGTCTGAATGGCAGTGTTGAAAACAGTGAACTGCTCAAGGAGATTGAACCCGTCCTGGATCTTCTGAAGGGCAACAGCCAAGAACTCAACGGCAATGCTGAAGCCCAGATGGCGATGAGAGACGTTGAAATCCAGGTGGACAGGTAAGATGCGAAAATCATTTCACGCTACAGGTAGTCCTCAACTTACGACCACAGTTGAGCCCAAAATTTCCATTGCTAAGCAAGGCAGTTCTTAAGTGAGTTTTGTCCCATTTTACTATTTGTGCCATAGTTAAGCAATTTGCTACAGTTGTTTAGTTGAGTTGAGTTGACTTGACTTGACTTGACTTTGGTCATTAGGCAACTTTGGCTTCCCCCATTGACTTTGCTTGTCAAAAGCTGGCTGGGGGGGCTGCAAGAGGTGATCAAATGACCCTGGAACAATGCAACTGTCATAAACACCCACCAGTTGCCGAGAGTCCGAATTTTGTGACCATAGGGATGCTGCAACAGTCATAAGTATGACAAATGTTCATGTATACGCCATCCATCTCCCCAATAAGGCAATTCTGGGCACCTTGCAAATCGTAACGAGACAAACAGAAAGCCATTAAATTTTAAAACTAGGTGCTAGATAATCCTACAGGATGTAAACCGGTGCATCCCAAATTTTTTCCTTGGTCACCTGTCAGAAAGTCTTTTTATTCCAAGGTAGGGAAAACATTTCAAGTCCATTTAAGTGTCCTTGTTCCGAGTGGGTCATGGGTTCATGTGTTGTGACCCTAAACTACCCAATTTGCTGGGTCGTTTTCTCAGATTTGGGGAAACTCTGATTTAAACAACTTGGCAAACCAACACCGAGCCTCTTTTGTCTGGATAAAAATAGAACTGGGGACAAGGTCAGCCGGTCAGTTTACAGCCACCTGGGGGGCAGTTCTCTTTCCTCCCTGTTTAAGCAGGAAAGTTAAGAATAAAACAGGAAGCCTCTTAGTGGCCTCTTTCCACTGAATAATTATATTTCTCAAGCAAATACAAGGAAGGGAAACACAGGAAAACCTGTGCAGAACAGATCATCCAGGGGTACTGATTTTGCAGCATGTACAGGTCCCTTGACGTACGACCACAATTGTGCCCAAAATTTACGTGGCCAAGCGAGACAGCAGTTAAGTAAGTGTGGCTCCGTTTTGTGACCTTTCTCGCCACCGTGGTTAAGCTAGTAACGCGGTTCTTAAGCGAACCTGCCTTCCTCCGTTGACTTTGCTCGTCAGACGGTGACAAAACGTGACCCCGGGATCTTGTGACCGTCATAAATACGAATCAGTTGCCAAGCATCCAAATTTTGATCACGTGACCAAGGGGGAAGCGGCATACGGTTGTGTGAAAAACAGTCGTTAAGTCACTTTTTTTTCAGCGCCATTCAGTCACTTTGCGCAGTCACTCAATGATCCGTAGTAAATCAAGGACTAATGATATCTTATTTTATTTCAGACACGTGGATTCAAAGGGTTATTTTGTTTTTTGTTTTCAATGACCAGGAAAAAAAAAACTCGAAAGAAAAGGGTGCTTCAAATCAATTGAAAGGAGCAGATATTGGTGTAGAACCGACGTCCTGCTTTTCTGGCAGAAGGTCCCATATTTACTATGAGGAATAGATGAAGGTCACTATATGGGTCGTCCTTGATTCATACCCATTCATCTAGCAGCTGTTCAACATAACAACGGTACCAAAAAAAGTCACTTAGGACTGTTTTTCGCCCTTAAGACCGTCACAGCCTCCCCGTGGTCACCTGATCAAAATTAAAACGCTTGGCAACTGGCGTGTACTTACGACGGTTGCAGTGTCCCGGGGTCACGTGATCCCCATTGGAGAACTTCCCAGCCAGCTTCTGACAAGCAAAGTCATTGGGGAAGCTGGATTTGTTTAATGGCCGTGCGGTTCAAATAATAACCTTGGCAAAAAAAAAATTAAAATTGGATGTGACTCATTGAACAACCCCCCTTGATTAGTACTGGAAATTCTGGCGGACCTGTGAGCAGTTGTGACCGTAGCACTGCCTGTAGATCAGCCTATCACTCTCCTGCTGCATTGGTTATCAGTTCCCATCATCCCCTGCCTGGACACTTATGGGAGAAAGCTTAGCTCCCTTGGATGGCTTCAGATTGGAGAAGGGTGCAAGAAGGGAATATTCAGCCAGGCAAACCAGCGTTCCGAATTGAAATAATTTTCCAAAGTAGCGTATTCCATTCTAGGCCTAACAATCTCTGCAACCTGACAAAAACTGATTCATAATTACCATAGCAACCTATGTAATTACTACCTTAAACAAAAAAAAATACCCACAACGCATGGACTGCTCCCTGTTTACATCACGTTCATTGCCTTGTATACTCTGGCGGTGACCAGCTGTTTAGAGGCGCATAAAATGACATGTTTACATCTCATTAAGCTAGGATTTGTTTGCTCATGATTTATTAAGGAAGTCACATTAAGCCCTAAGCTGGGACTTGCAAACCACAACAGTTACACTTTGCAAAACACACTGAACGGAAAACACACCAACTACACTATGGATCAAACAGGAGGACTTGGATAATCTTTGGGCAGCCATGGATATGACTTAACATAGTTTGAGGGATGGATGTCAAGTTGCCTTACACCAAAGATATTAAAAGAGATTCCCCCCCCCCCCCGTTAACCACTGGTTGAAAGTTGACCACGGTTCTTTCGATAAACATTCTTCTGCTTCTATTTTTAGCCCGCCCAAAGATGGTTGTCATATCTTATCTCCTTTACCAGCTTTTAATGCCTCAAGTCTAGCTCGGCTCCTATATTTTCCTTGTGACTCCTGAGGCTTATTATGCCTTTCGCGAACTCGTAAGGCAGTGGATGTATTTTTAAAGGCTCTTATTTTCCACAATTGGGGTAGACAACATGCTCTGCCCACGAGGGCACCACCTCTTAGTCAAAGGGGAAGATAAAAATAAATAAAATCCGGATAGGATTTTGCCCCTGAAGAGAGTTGCTTGCGGGCTGTGGTGATTGCAGATGTTAATGTGTCATATGTATAAACTTAGCACTGGAAAGAAACGTTGAAAATGTTGAGTCCAGCCTTTTGTTCAGTGCAAGAATCAAAACTAAATTGTCCAGGACAGAGGTTTGTCTTGCCTCTGCTTGAACTTTTTCAGCGAAGGAAGCTCCCTACTTCCTTTTAGTAATTTATTTCCATGTCCAATTGCTCTTATTACTCAGCATTTTCTAAACTTTCAATGGGAATCTGGCTTTCCTCTTTCTGTATCCTGCTTCCTGGAACAACAGGGCATCATCTTGATCAACTAGGGAACATTCCTTCAGGTAGCTAAAGGTTAAAAGGTAAAGGGCCACCAAGTCAAGGTTAAGTCCTGGTGACTTTGCAGATAACCTCATGACTTGATTTTTTTAAGCAGAAAAAAAACACCAGAGGTTGAGTCCTGTCTGAGGTCTTCATGGTGACTGTCTGCTGGCTTCCCCTTAATGTGAGTTGATCAAATAGAAAACAGGATATTCACACGGACCCTTTGCTTACATCACCAGTCAATGAACGCGCCAGAGAAGATCACCAATGTCCTCATCTCCTTTCCAAGGATTTGAAGATAGTCTGTGTCTCCTCAGTTTAAATGAGACGTTGTAAAAAAAAAAAAAGCTAGATGTTTTTCCCAACATAATACTAAGCGGAAGGCTTCCTTAAAATATTACCGTTCATCCTTCAATAAACAAATTCTTGTTTCATGTAGGAAGGCTGAAATTCTTTCAAAAAAGAAAGGAAAGAAATCATACGTGACCACAAAACAAAAATCACTCCGGAAAGTCTTTTGCTTGGTAGAGCTTGAAATCTACTTGACCAAACTTCTTATTCAGAATAATGTTGTCATCAAACAATTTTGCTCTTGCAAACTTGAAAGGCTTCAGGTATCCGTGCTGTTGGCTGCAAACCGAGAGATCCCTTTACAGTTTAGCATAAAGTTTAAACAGAAATGAATGTGAGCCAGGAGGTATTTGTGAAAATATTTTCAGTTTGTAAATCAAGTGTTCCAGAGTGGGATTAATGGAAGGACAGACTGAACCACCCCAGGGCTTTGGTGAAATGCCGTGCTGTTCCTTCCAGAGCTTTTGTATCATGTTATCTCTAAATCTTTTTTCTTTTCTTTTTGAACTCAAGTCTAAACTTCTGAGTAACGACCTGTCAAGTACATCCCTGTTAGTTAGTTCTGAAAACCAGCAAACCACTTTGGAATCCTGTGGGAAAGTATCTTGCCCCCTGCTGCTGATTACATGAGCATATTATGTTTCCGCATGATGATCTTGCATTCCTGAGTAGGAAGTGTTCTGTTTGTGCTTGATACATTTCAGATTATTAATTATAGACATGTGTCTGGGAAAGAATAAAAGGAGAGGTTTTGCTTTCTTCTCTTTTTCGGGGTCCTATTCCTGCACTGTGGGGTGCAATGGCTCAGCAGTTAAATACACTGAACTTTTCAGCTGGAAAGCTTGCAACCTGGATTCGAGACCTGAGCACCGGGTGACAGGGTAAGCTCCTGTCACTAGCTCCAGCTCCTTTTCACCTAGCAATTTGAAAGCATGCAGATGCGAGCAGATAAATAGGTACCACTTCGATGGGGGGGTAAAAGCATTCTATGAGCCTTTAATATATAGTCATGTTGGCCACATGACTGTGGAAAAGGTCTTCGGACAATGCTGGTTCCCTCAGCCCAGAAAAGGAGATGAGCACCACTCCTTAGAGCTGGACAGGGTTAGAAAAGGAAATCTTTATTTTTTTTTCTTTATTCCTGGATTATGTGTGACTTCAACATGCAGCCCTTTCTTTAAGGTCCTTTTCAGCTTTTATGGCATCTATTCATTATGAGTGCAAAAAGGAGAATGGAACTGCATCTCTTCCTCCCCACACACACACACACACACTATTTCCACACCTTCTAACCACTCCCTTGCTCTTTGGAAACGCAAGCTCCTGCCTATTGTATTCTGCTTATCAGAAGAAAATGCAGTCATGCCATAGTCCAGAGCGGGGAGCCACTGGTGTGCTATGCAAACAGCTTACTCTCTTGCAATCCCATTCTCTCCAATCTCTCCACTCTGCAATGGGGGGGAGGGAAGAGTGAGAAAA